GGGGGAGGCCGGGCCGCGCCCCGGAGGTCACTTCCTCCCCCGGGTCTCCAGCGCCTGAGAGGCGGGGGAAGGGGGCGGAGAGGCAGGGGGAGTGGGGATCCGCGGCCTCGAGGCCGGGTGCCCACGGCGGACGCTCTCTGGGGTCCACCCCACCGGCGCCCACGCCGAACGGCTGCTGGAGACGCGGCATTTCCATGCAACGATGCAAACGCGCTCATTACCATATCCTCAATATGCATGAAGAAAATGCGCACCGCTGGCCGAGCCCCGTCACCCGGCTCTGGCCTCGGCATCCAATACCGCGACGTATTCATCTCCCTAGACGGACTCGGAGCGAGGGGGTGTCGGGGAGGCAGATGCACGCGGAGGGAGAGGGGACAGGTCCTGGAGAGCGAGAGGAGAGAGAATAAACCCGAATAGCCTGAGAAAAATTAAAAAAAAGAATGAGGCTAGAAAGCGGGAAGGATTGGGGGAAAAGGGAAGGGGTGTGTGAGTGTGTGCGCGCGTGTGTGTGAGTGTGCGCGCGCGCGCGTGTGTGTAGAAATACAGGTAGGAGGAAGGACGCCATCGCTGGCCTAAAGGAGAAGGGCGGGGCGGGGGAGGGAAACACAAAATAAGAAGAGCGGGTGGGAGCAGAGAGAAATGAACTAAAAAGTGATCGAGGGGGGAAAAGTATATAAACGAACGAAGGAATGGGAGCGAGGGGAACGGGATTAATAACCTAGCCATAACACCTCAGAAAGGGCAAAGAATCGACAGATAGAGAAAAATAAAGGTAGTGAGCGGAGTGGAGCCGCCCCAAGTCCGGTGGAAACAAGCTCATCCCGGAGGAAACATAAAATCATTCGCGCTAACGAGGAGGTGCGCCCCCCACCACTCCACCCTCCGCCCCTCCAAGCCGTTTCTCTGGGGGCGCTGCTCGGAGACCCCGGGAGCCGGCCGGGGAGAGGAGGCACCAGGGCGGAGCAGGGGAGCCAAGGACTGGCTGACCGGCCTTGGGCTTCTTCTCCGGGGCGGCCAGGCCGGCTCCAGGCGCTTAGGCCCAGCCCGGGGTCCCACCCCGAGCCCCCGCGGCCCGCCGTCGCTTGCAGCCAGAGGGCCAATCTCGAGCCGAAAAGCGAAGTTGGCAAAGTTTCCCCCAAAGTTCTCCGATCGCTTCTCCCGACCCAAGGAAGGCCTTAGAGGTCCAGGCAGCTCGTAGGGAGCGGCAGCACTTTCCCCGGCGGCTCTGCAGGCGCCTGCCCCGCGCCTCCTGGGATGCTCGGAGTCCGAAGCCCAAAGCGAGACCCTTTAGGTGCGTACGGCAGGTCGTGCCGGAGGGAATCGGTGCAGCTGCTAATAGCCAAGAGAGAGAGAGAACGCGAAAAAGAGAAAGAGAGAGAGAGAGAGAGAAGGAAAAAAATATTCTCAGCTCAATTTAAGTCTCATGGAAAGGGCTTACAACTGTAATTAAATCATTAAATTCTTGTCTACGCTTCACAGAGCGGAGAGAAATTAACTTCCCACCAACCTCATTTTCTATTTGAACATGAAATAATGATTTTCTGCCCGTCTAATTACAAAGCCAACATCTGATCAAGCCAGCATCCAGAGGGGATTATCGCATGCACGAGTATTAGACCTCATTACCAGCTTGAGTGCAAAATTATTACATCTTGTAATTGGATGGTGAGATTTATATACAGATCGGCCCGGTTTCTGTAAGATTGTAATTACAAGCTTCGTTGGTTAGCTACTTATCAGAACTTTGCAGGAAAACAAAACAAATGACTGAGGAAAACGAGCATTTCATTAACCTGTAACCCGAGCGCGGGGGGGAGGAAGCGGTGGGAGTGCGCGCCGCGGCGTGTGCAGGAAGCAGTGGCGTAGCCAGCCCTCTCTGCGCCGGGGGACTCCGGGCCTGGAGAGCGAAGAACAGAAGATGGGCCTCGGCAGGGAGACCCGGAGCCGCAGAGGCTCCCCGTCTTGGGGACCTGCACGCATCACGAGACTGGGCGAAGAGGGGGCAGAAAAGGGGCCTGGTGGCTTGTGGGCAGTGCGCCTCGAAACCGTCCGAACCTGAACCGGCCGGGCCTTCTCAAGGCCCCGGCCACACGTCGGGCACGATTCTCGGTGCGCGTGTATGGTGGACACACCTTTTCTGCACACTCTCCAGACCCTTGGCCGAGCTCGGAGAGCGTCAGCAGCGAGTCCCCGGCGCTTTGTGCGTTGGGGGATGTGGGAAGGAGAGCTGGTGGAGAAGCTTCTGTGCGCGGTGTATTTGTGTGCCGCGCGTGTCTTTTGCAAATCAACGTGTCGTGCACCTGCTTTTCTTAGCTGCGCGAGTGTGTCCCCCCCCTCCCCCCGATCTAATCTCTCGGATTAAAGATCAAAGGTTCAGCTACCCGCGGACCCGAGAGTTCAGTCTAAGAGCTGGGCTCCACTGGGCCGGGCCATTTTGGGGTTCCTGCGGCACATCAAGACTGGGTTACTTGGGACGCCGAGTCCCCGATACAGGGTGCAATTTTCGGGCCAGCCCAAGGCTGTGTCCAGCTGGAGACCAGGGCAACGAGAGGCTGCTCCTGTGCCAGGCCCGGGGCGCCTGTCTGGAGGGATCTAATTGAGCGGGGTTCTTGGGTGCGCGGTTGGGTCTGGAAGTTCACCATTTGGGCCAGGGGCGACCCTGGCCGGCATGAGTTCGTTTCTGAGAACACCCTCGCCCTTGCGTCCTCTTTCTGGCCGCCCGGAGCTCGGTGTAACCTGGTCGGTAGCTGGTTAAGTCCGAAGAAACATCATCTGGGCTCAGAACTGTTAGGGTTTTGTTTTTCCTTCTGGAAGAACTGGGTTAAATATCGGGAATCTCACTCCATCGCTCTCAGCGGTGCCCTAGGTCTCCTACCTCTGCCCCCCCATCTTGTTGCCCCCACCCCTGGTCTGGTCCAGCATTTTGTATAAACTAACTGGAGATCTGAGAATTGTTAAGATGGAGAGCAACACCCAGCAAAGAGTCTGGGAAATGATTCTGTAAGGTCTATCCTGAGATGAGCCCCAAACTCCCTAGGACACTCCTGACAGGTTTAACTGGAAACGAAATCGGGGCGCCAGAGATACATTTCAGGGCCGGAGCCGACCCTGCCCTCGCCTCCTTTGGCTAGGCGCTCGTAAGGCCAACGCCCAGCGCCCAACACCTGGCGGTGGCGGGTGAGGAGGGGTAGAGAAGAGGCTCAGACCCAATTTGAGAGACCTGTCCAGTTTCCCCCTTCGAATCCTAAACCGACTGGTTCTCAAACTTTCCTTAGCTTTTTTTTTCTCCCCCTAATTTTCTCTGCATCCACACCTATTAGAGTCGCCAACCGGTCCTGAGACCCATGGGTCCAAGCTGGGTGTCCACCACGGGGGCACAAGGAACTCTTCATTTCTGGGCTGAGCTTCCCGGAGCTGCTGTGACCAGAGACCGCTGGCATGAAGACCCTCGAATCCCTGTACTCTGGCGGAATTCAGATTCAAATCCTCAATCAATCAGAGCTGGACAGCTGGTTTCCGCCTCGGAGCCCAGGCTCTTCACTGTACCCCTCACTCCCTTAGTGGGTCCCGGGGCCCACCCGCTGAAGGCCTGGCGCGGGCACGATTTCACCTCGCGGCCTAAAGCGCTTAGCCCCGAGAGCCCATCCAATTCTGGGAATTTCACTGTGGCTCTCATCCACACGCCCTAATCCGTGAAAGGTGGGCGCTTAGATATTGGTGTTTCAAGTTTGATATGAATTATCCCACTATTAAAACCGAAGTCTAGCTTCTGCTTCTTGTCTCTTGGTCCCCTGGAGGTGGGTGGGAGGTGGGTGGGTGGTGGGTGGGTGGTGGGTGGGTGGTGGGTGGTGGGTGGGGTAGTCCTCGCCCAAAGAAAATAGGTGTAGAAGGGACCCCAGAGGCAGAGGGGGAGGTAAAATGAAGGGTATCAACACCTGAAACACCAACAGAGAAACTTCTAAAAGTGCTCTCGGAGAGTTGCTGGGACCTCGGGGTCCTTTCGCACGCCGCCCCCCCCCCATCTATTGGCTGGCTCTACCAACTGGTCACTGGCTCCCCAGGACCCTAGAGCGACCACTTTGGGCCTGGAGCTGAGCCCGCCACATCTAATGAGGGAATCGCGCCCCGACTCTGGGAAGGCATTCAAGTGGCAAATTGCAGGATTTGACCGTCCGGCCTGGGGGCCGCCTCCCCCGCCAGACCTTTTTAAGTGTCACTTGGACACACTCCCGCGCCGCACGCACACTCTCCCTGCTCCTACGCCACTGAGTGCAGCTGAGGGAGCGTCTGGGGTGGGGGGCTAAGAAGGGGATCTTGGCGAAGTCTAGCCCCCCCTCGGTCTTGGGGTCGGGTCCTAGCCGGGAGCTATCACTAGGGCGTGTGACCCGCATGGAAAAGCGGGAAGCGGGGAGGGGCGAGCTGACCCAGCCCTAACCCGCGTCCCCGCGCCTCGACTCACCCGCCCAGCCCGAGCAGCAGGGGGCGGGGAGGGACTCCGCCCCGCCCCGTCCCGCCCCGCCCCGCGCGCGGTAACCGCGGGGGTGGGCGGCCCAGCCAGTTAGGCGCCCCGGCGATTGGCGACTCCGAGAGGAGACTTGGAGGAAAACTCGAATAAGAGGGCGCAACGTCAGGCTCGAGATTTGGGCAAGGGGGAAGGGAGGGGGGGGAGGCGGGGACCGACCCGCCGACGGGGACACGCACACCTCCTTCACAACACCCCAAGTGTCCACAACTTTAGGCCGGGACGCAGTAGCCGAGTAGGGGCGGAGGGGGCGGGAGTCATGGGTGAGTGAGAAGAGAGATTGGAAAGAGAAGAGTCAGACAAAAAGTGAAGGGAAGCGCAGAGGGGTGGAAAGCGCAATCGTGAGAAGGGAAAAGAGAAGGAAAGGAAAAGGAGAGTTCTCCAGGGTCCAGGACGGTGTTAAAGAGTCCTGGGGGCGGAAGCGATCCAGGGTGGGGTCGAGGGGGGGGGGGAGAGGAGCGCGGCGAGGGGAGGAGAGAGGAAGGGAGAGGAGGGGGAGTGAAAACTAGAGGAGGGCGAAGGAAGCGAGGCGCGACACTGCTGGGGAGAGGAGGGCAGCGAGGAGCGCGGCTGGGGCAGAGGCAGCTCGGGCCGCGGAGAGGAGGGAGCGCAGCGCCGAGAGGAGGGGCTTGCGGCCCCGTAGAAATGTCAATCAGAGCCCCGAGCCCCGGGAATCTCCGCCAATCTGTTCCGACCTGACCTGGCTCCCCGCCGCCGCCGCCGCCGCCGCCGCCGCCGCCGAGCAGATCAATAGGTGATCGCGGAGCGCAGCAGCCCGGGAGGCAGCGAGGCCCCAGCTCGGCCCAGCCCCCGATGCCCACCGGAGCCCGCGGGCGGCGCTGAGCAGGGCGGCCCCGCAGGCTGGGCCCCCTCTCTGTCGGTGCCCCGCGGGCCACCATGTCCTTCCCCCAGCTCGGATACCAGTATATCCGCCCTCTCTACCCACCCGAGCGCCCGGGAGCGGCAGCGGGCGGCGGCAGTGCCGGGGCCCGGGGTGGACCGGGCGCCGGAGCCTCGGAGCTGGCGGCCTCCGGCTCCCTATCCAACGTGCTCTCGTCGGTGTACGGGGCGCCCTACGCCGCGGCTGCCGCTGCGGCCGCCGCCGCACAGGGCTATGGAGCCTTCCTGCCCTACGCCGCGGAGCTGCCCATCTTCCCGCAACTGGTAAGAGCCCAAGGGACCCAGGAAAGAGGGGTTGGATCTGGGGCGCCGGGTGCGGGGAGCGCACGGGACGAGACAGACCACTTGGGGTCCGGGGCCCGGAGGGTGGAGGCGGCGACGGCTGGCGCTCACCCGCGCTCCCTCTGCGCGTGTCCCCTTCTTTCTCCTTGTGCGTGCAGGGCGCCCAGTACGAGCTGAAGGACAGCCCTGGGGTGCAGCATCCGGCCGCGGCCGCCGCGTTTCCGCACCCGCACCCCGCCTTCTACCCATACGGTCAGTACCAGTTCGGGGATCCGTCCCGTCCCAAGAACGCCACCCGAGAGAGCACCAGCACCCTCAAGGCCTGGCTCAACGAGCACCGCAAGAACCCCTACCCCACCAAGGGCGAGAAGATCATGCTGGCCATCATCACCAAGATGACCCTCACCCAGGTGTCCACCTGGTTCGCCAACGCGCGCCGGCGCCTCAAGAAGGAGAACAAGATGACGTGGGCGCCCCGCAGCCGCACCGACGAGGAGGGCAACGCTTACGGGAGTGAGAGGGAGGAAGAAGACGAAGAGGAAGACGAGGAAGATGGCAAACGCGAGCTGGAGTTGGAGGAGGAGGAGCTCGGAGGGGAGGAGGAGGACACGGGGGGCGAGGGGCTGGCAGAGGACGACGAAGACGAGGAGATCGATTTGGAGAACTTGGACGGTGCGGCCGCTGGGGCTGAGCTGGCCCTGGCTGGGGCAGCACGTAGGGACGGCGACCTCGGTCTGAGACCCATTTCGGACTCTAAAAATAGCGACTCGGAAGACAGCTCTGAGAGTTTGGAGGAGCGGCCGCTGCCGATCCTGAACCTGGCCCCAGCGCCACCCTCCGTGGCCTCCACCCCGCCATCTCCAGCTTCGCCCCCCGCAGGCCTGGACCCCTGCGCTCCAGCACCAGCGCCCTCCTCCGCCCTGCAGAAGCCCAAGATCTGGTCCTTGGCCGAGACGGCCACAAGCCCAGACAACCCTCGTCGCTCGCCTCCCGGAGCGGGAGGGTCTCCTCCCGGGGCAGCCGTCGCGCCCACGGCCCTGCAGCTCTCTCCGGCCGCGGCCGCTGCAGCCGCCGCGGCGCACAGACTCGTCTCGGCGCCGCTTGGCAAATTCCCTTCTTGGACCAACCGGCCCTTCCCAGGCCCGCCGCCGGGCCCACGCCCGCACCCGCTCTCCCTGCTCGGCTCGGCCCCTCCGCACCTGCTGGGACTTCCCGGAGCCAGTAGTCACCCGGCCGCCGCGGCCGTCGCCGCCTACGCTCGGCCCGCAGAGCCAGAGGGCGGAACAGGTGACTACTGAGTGCAGGGTCCGGAGGGTGTCTGGGGTGGGGTGACGCTGAGATTTGGGGGGAGGGGGCAGGGATCCTTGGGGCTGAAGGTGCTTTCCTCTCGGTTCCTAGGCCCACGACCCTGGGGCCCTGATTTAAGTATTCTAAAGGCCTTCCTCTTTTCCTCTCGCTTCCCAGATCGCTGTAGTGCCTTGGAAGTGGAGAAAAAGTTACTCAAAACAGCTTTCCAGCCGGTTCCCAGGCGGTAAGAGTCTTGGGGGTTTGGGGAAATGGGTGGGTGGGGACGACTGCAGGAAAGAGGAGAGGACGCCAAGGCCTTTGGCCCCTGGGCAGACATGGCTGGAAAGAGTCTTTACGCAGGGACAAAACCCATCTTCAGTTACTTCTTGATGGACAGTCACAGCCCAAGCGCCCAGGCTGCGGCCTGTAGGCACAGAGCTGGGGGGGAACCCAAGCCTGACACGACCAACAGGCCGCTGGAGAAGGTGACCACTGTGATGTCCACCTCCTTCCAGCCTCGGACCTCGGATCCTGGCTCCTTCTCCCCGTCAGATAGTTAACCCGGACGCATACCTCCCTCCACTGCTGAACAGAATTGTTCCCCCTGGCAGCCCCAGTCCCAGGTAGGGTCTCCCCAAGGACCTTAGATGTCCTCAAATCTCATCTCTTGTGTGTGTGTCTCTCTCTCACTTCCAGGCCTCAAAACCACCTGGATGCTGCTCTGGTCTTATCAGCTCTCTCCTCGTCCTAGTTTTGTTTTGTTGTGGTTTTTTTTTTTTAAAGAAAACAATTTTTAAATCATTGTAATGATTGTAAAAACAAACCACAGTGTATAGTTACGAGTTTAAAGCATGTCCGTGTATGTATGAATACTTAAAAGAGAAAACTAAACAAACGAAAAAAAGAAAGATGAAGAAATAAAACCAGTCCCCCACAGCCCTCCCCAAATCGCTCCTGTGCCACCCCAGCCACAATTAGTTGCGATTGTGAGGTTGGTTTGTTGTGTTGATTGCGGTTGGGGGCGGGGGGAGAGGGCGGTTCAATAAGAATAAGTGTGTTTGGCTCTTTTTTGTATATACAGAAAAATGTACATATGTGTGAACCAAATTGTACAAGAAAATATCTATTTTTGGCTAAATAAATGAGCGGTTGCCACTTTTGACTATAAACTGGCCCGGTCTGCCCCCCCCCCCCATTCCCCAGGATCTGTTTGGTGTTTGGGGGGGTTTGGGCCATTCCCCTCCCCCTTGGTTGCTGGAAGAATTTCCCAAAACAGCAAAGAGGGGTGAGTGTGTCCAGGGGACAGCAATGGCGGAGGAGGCGCCGAGGTGGCGGGCTGGGGATACCTCAGGAGGAGGCGCCCAAGAGAAAGGGTGGCCGGGATGGGATTAAGCTAGGTAAGATTTCTGCTATGAGCTGAGAAACGGGGTCCTCGCGAGCCATCGCCGGGCTTCGGGGCCTTCTCTGGTGGCAGAGTAGAAATCCTCAGGGAAACATTTGCACGCCCAGGGCGTCGGCTGCAGCTTCTGCGCCCTGCCCACTCCCATTCTTGAACCCCGACAATTGAGATATCCTCGACCTCCTATTTCAGGGGGGCTATGCAGCTTTCAGCCTTTCTCCCCCTCCTCCAACCTCGCTGCCTCAAGCAGATGCCTCCGTTTAGACGCAATGATGCGGGTGCCAGGGGAAGGGGTGTCCGGAAAGAGAGGGAGTGCGCTTCGTTCCCTCTTGAAGGCCTGTGACCTCCCGGAGATCCGAGGATCCAGGTCCGACGGCAGCGGTGCGTCTCAGGCGGTCCAGGAGGCAGGAACAACCTTTTGAGGTTCTGGGGCAGGGTTTGGGGGGGGGGGTCACGTCGCGGCAGCTTTCAAGATGAGAAATGGGGGGGAAGGAAAGGGGGTGGGGGAGGATGGAGATCCTGGAAATTTGGGGCTGGAGCTCCCTCTACAGGACGCAAGAGCGGCTCGGCGCCTCGCCCGGTGGCCTGTGCAGCCAGGCCGGCAGCGCACCCTCTCCACGTCCTGCTTTGGTCGTCCAGCCAGCCAGCCTTGCACAGCCCTGACTCCAAGAAGTCCTGAGGCAGAGTGCGCCTGGGCGTGTGAGGCGGGAGAGCCTCTTTAGGGACACCCCTCTCCCCTCGTATTAGGTAGGAAATGTCCAAGCTCATCAGAAGGTGGGATGGACTTTGGAGGTCCTGTGGTGGCTTCCTGGGGGGAAAAAAATTGGGGGGGGGGGAATGGGGAGATGTCACCCTGACAAACCTGGAACAAGGCACAGACTGTATTGCCTGCTGGGCGACAGCAATAATACTCTGGTAGGATGTGTTCCGGTGGATGTGCCCCTCCGCCCCATGCAGCAGAATTTACTCCATGGTGGTGATTCTGAGGACCTCCCCTGAGGGCCTGCCCCCTCCCCTCCACACCCCTGCTCCCCCCCCCCAAGCTGGGATGTGGAAGACAGGGAAGATGTCTTCCATGTGCTGAGTCAGTCTGGCTGGCTGGCTAAGCAGAGTGAACCCCTGAAGAGGAAATGCTGAAACTGGGGCTCCCTCCTGCAACTCCTTCCTCCAGTACCTTCCCCCAGAGATGTCTCCTGTGCTCCTTCCTCTTCTCTGTTTGCTGAAGGTGTTTCTGGGATTCAGGGTTCTTTACAGATAGATGATACAGACTGAGGTTCCATTACTGAGGCTGAAGTATAGCACCCCCACACCACCTCCAACCGTGAGGCATAAGCCTGGGCCTCTGCTTAGCCAATCTTTAGGCAAGCCACATCCCCAACAAAGCTTAACACTGGGGTACCCCCAGCTCCCTACTTACGTCCTGTAAAACCCCAGGCAAAAAATTCATTCCCCTGTGTCCTCCTCTCCTTGGCCCAATAGGAATAGTGCTGCCTACCTAGCAGGGTGGGCGTGAGCATCAGGGCACATGCCCAGGGCCATCTCTTGATAGGTGCTAAGTGGGCACAAATGACCCTACTTTAGCATCTTTTAGAAGCCCTGATTCCCTCTATCTCCCCACACTCCCAGCCATATTCTATCCTACTTGCCTCTCATTAGCCAGCAAAAATGTCTTTCCTCTGGAAGTCAGGATCCTCCACTATCAGCACCATCCAGACAGAAAGGACGTTTTCCAGGGAGAAAAACGTGATGGCAGACTCCTCAGTAGTCAGGCAATCTCTATGTGTGTGAGGAGAGGGCTGCAGATCCTGCCTGTCCCCCAAGGGAGGGGAATGAAGGGACTGGGCCCAGGCTGAAGGGATCCTGACTTCAGGCCTCAAGGGCTCTGTCCAGTGAAGACCCTGTGTTGGCTCTTCTGACTGACCATCACATTACAAGGGCATGATCCCTGAACAAGTGCCATTCTACCTATCTGGCAAGAGCAGCCAATGTAGGTACCTCCCTGGGCCTTCTCGGCCTTGTCTTATTCCATTCTCAGGGATCCCAGAATCTGTCTCACTTCTTACTGAAGGGGAAACTAGAAGGAAGAAGAAGAAGAAGAAGAAGAAGAAGAAGAGAGAGAGAGAGAGAGAGAGAGAATATGAGTATCTCATCACTGGTTCTGATTAAGCTTCAATTAGAAATAAAATGTGTCAATCACCCTCCAGGAAGGGACTTCTGCTGTCGGTGTTGGTTATGCAAAGCACTGGAGTGTGTGGGGATAATCAGTTGGGTCAGAGGAAGGAGTGTGTGGCGTGCTTGCTCATTATCTGCTGCATGGAGTTGGGAGGGGGGTGGGGCGGGCATTGCGCTGTGGAGCCAGGGAGCCGGCAAAGAATAAAATCATCTCCCTAAGTGACCATCATCCACCTCTGAGACCCACATGTTAATGGTTTCCAATTGAATTTTTCTTCCGGGGGATACAGGGAGGAGGAAAGAGGGTCTAGCCAGAAGGTGACATGGAAGAGCTCTGGCACAGGCCATCCTTCGCCTGTCCCAGGAGAGGAGTGAGGAGTAGGCAGTCCCCACCTTCAAGACTGGTGTTCTCTACATGTGAAGGACAGGAGTGAGAATAGATGAATTTAATCAGCCTTCCTTATGTGTCTAACAATGTCTAAGATTAGGCATTAAAAAGAACAGGTCTAGCCAGGTGCCAGTGGTTCACACCTGTAATCTTAGCTACTCAGGAGGCTGAGATCTGAGGATCATGGTTCAAAGCCAGCCCGGGCAGGAAAGTCTGTGAGACTCTTATCTCCAATTAACCACCAGAAAACCAGAAGTACCACTGTGGCTCAAGTGCTACTTGAGCCATAAGTACTAGCCTTGAGCTGAAGAGCTCAGGGACAGCACCCAGGCCCAGAGGTCAAGCCCCACAACTGACCAAAAGAAAAAAAATGGTCTAAAGATAATGCTACGGGTGAGATGGCCCACAGGTTCTCTGAATGCTGCTCCCTGATTGGGCACTGTCATCAGACCCAGCCAACCAGCATGGACAATAAAAAATGTCCACCTATGGTATGGCCAACCTAGCTTTAATGCAATTGCTATTCCTCTAGGAAGGGGTGTTACTCCTCTGAGGGCTATGCCCATCATCTGGATGAAGAACTACCATAAACCAATCCACTCCTAGTTTGGGCACAGCTGGAAGAGGTCTTTAGCTAGGCCAGTCTTGTCTTCTCTCACACTTGGCCACATTTGACAATATCAGAGGAGAACTGGGGTTAGGGAAGTACTGGTATGTCATGGGTACAGGGCAAGGTCACTCCACATAGCAACTCTTCCCAGAGAGAATGACCCAGGCTGCAGTAAAGTGTTTCACCTTGGATGCCCTTGATCTACACCTGCCTTGATCTTCTCCACATATCTAGTACTGGATGTAAGAATTGTCCACAGGAAGATGTCAGTGTGTTGAAGTTGAGAATCCACGGGGCTGAGGGCTCAAGGTTTCTGGAGCAGTCCCAGCAAATAGTCTCTCCTCCAAACCACATCTCTGTTGAAAAGTGCAATGTGCAAAGTGCAAGGTTTTTGTTCTTTACAAACTTTTGGCCCTGGAAGGGGGAAGTAGAGGTGAAGTTGAGCCAACAGGAAGCTCTGTGAGCCTGGGAAAGAGAGAGGAATGAGGTAGAATATTCTCCAGCCAAAGGTGAGAGGGAAAGAATAACCCCAATCATGTCTGCAAAGTTAGAGCCTCCCTCTTTGGGATACTAAAGTCAAGAGGAGGGTACAGGAAGATTTTCAGAAATGAGAGCTGAAGTCATGTGGTTTGGGGTTCCTGATCACACCGCCCCCTTTCCCCCCACATGCTCTGGGGGCAGAAAAGCTGCTGCCACCAGCTCTTCTGTTTATTTATGTGCTTGTTCTCTCTCTGTCTCTCTGTCTCTCCATCTCTGTCTCTGTCTCTCATCTCTCTCACACAAAGACAGAGACACACAGAAAGAGATCATGTCAGGGAATAGGAGAGAGACAAAGACAGGGTCATGTCTGAAGCTGAACCTGAGGCAGGCAGGCAGTGAAGGCTGAGATTTCATGGCTTTTGTGTCGAGTGACCAGTCCTGCATTCTCTTACTGCACTCAGCCGCTAACAAGTGGGCCGCAGCCCTCCAGGGCCTTTGGAGTGCACTCATCTGGCAGGCTCCACTTCTCTCAGAGGCTCAGATTTATTTTACCAAAGTTACAGGGCAATTATGGAAATGCGCCCTTTGAAGCTGGGCTGATTTCTCTTTATTTTCTTCTCCCTGACAAAGCAGAGCTTCCCTGCCTCTTGTGAGTCTCTCCCTCTCCCCTTTCTCCTTCACTGTCTTTTAATCTCCCTTTCTCTTCTCTCTTTTATTTTCCCCGGATAATTCTTATGTAGTGGGAACTTCCAGAGGTGACATGGGGAAAAAAAAATCTTTTTTAAAGAGTATCAAAAACGTGTAGAGATTAAAATGTTACTGCGGTTTTAATTTTATTTTCTTAAAGGGGATTTGATGACC